TTTTACTATTTCAAAAGATGGTGTTTGTTTTATAAATTTTTATATGAAAATTTTGTTGTTTTTTTTGGTGTTTTACTAATATATAAATTTTTAACAATTATTAGTTTTTTTTATTAAATAAAAGAAATTTATACATAATTAGTTTTTTAGATAAGAAGAAAAAAATTATATGTAAATTATTTGTACTTGTTGTCTTATGTTTTTTGTTTAAAAAATTAAAGGAAATTTTGGTTAAGGAAATGAATTGAGGAAAAGTTAAAGGAAATATAATATAGTGTGTATTTAGGGATTTAAGTTCCTTATTTAAGGAACAATAAAAGAAAATTATTTTTTATAATTTTATATCAAAACCATGAATATTTTTCATGAAAATTTAAAAAAAAGATGTTATTATTTTTTCTTTCATAATACGGACCTGAAACTTAGTGGCTTAATCATAAGTGTTGGGTCGATAGAGTAGAGCCTTACTGGTTATTATCTTATTTTCAAAAACAATACTATTTCCGAATATAAATACTTATACTTTTTGCTGAATTTTAATACTGTTGATGTCATTTAAAGCAGTATTAAGCTTTCAAAAAATGGTTCTTCGTACAGAAAAGTACTATTTTCTTAAAGATTTATTATTTGATGAAAAAATTATGATAGGATCATCATCAAAAGATACCACTTTTTAATAACTGAATGGCGATTGCCATCAAAAAGTACCAATTTGATGAGAAAGTGCCGTTTTCTAAAAAACTAGTAGTTTGGTGAAAGAATTATTACGCCTTTCAAAGGTACCACTCGTAACAGAAAAGTACTATTTTCTTAAAAATGGATTATTTTATGAAAAAATTACGATGCAATCATTATTAAAAGGTACCACTTGTTAAGAAAAAGTACCTTTTTCATAAAAATAGATAATATTAGGAAAAAATGGTAATAAATAAACGCATTTTATTTTCTTTAATATTGGTGGTTTTATGAGAAAAATTGTTATGCAATCGCCATTCAAAGGTACCATTTGTTACAGAAAAGTACTATTTTATTAAAAATGGGTTATTTGTAGAAAAATTATGATGTGATCATCATCAAAAGGTACCACTTGTTAAGGAAAAGTACCTTTTGCACTAAAATTATAATGTTATGAAAAAATGGTAATAAATGAATGGCGATTACCATCGAAAAGTACCTACCACTTTTAGAAGAAAGTACCATTTTCTTAAAAATTAGTACTTTGGTGAAAGAATTGTTATGCAATCGCCTTTCAAAGGTACCACTTGTTACAGAAAAGTACTATTTTCTTCAAAATTTGTTATTTGAAGGAAAAATTATGATGCAATCACTATTAAAAGGTACCAGGAAGAGTACCTTTTACATAGAAATGAATAATGTTATAAATAAATTGTAATGAATGAATAGTTTTTGCCATCAAAAAGTACCACTTTTCGGAGAAAGTACCAAATTAGTAGTTTGGTGAAAAAATTGTTATGCAATCCCCATTCAAAGGTACCACTTGTTACAGAAAAGTACTATTTTCTTCAAAATTTGTTATTTGAAGGAAAAATTATGATCAAAAGATACCACTTGTTAAAGAAAAGTTCCTTTTGCATAAAAGTGGATAATGTTATGAAAAAAATAGTAATAAATAAATTGCGATTGCCATCAAAAAGTACGGCTTTTATGAAAAAGTACCATTTTCTTAAAAATTAGTAGTTTGGTGAAAAAAGTTGTTATGCAATCACCATTCAAAGGTACCACATGTAACAGAAAAGTACTATTTTCTTAAAAATGGGTTATTTGTGGAAAAATTATGATGCAATCATCATCAAAAGGTACCACTTGTTAAGAAAAAGCACATTTTTCATAAAAATAAATAATATTAGGAAAAAATGGTAATAAATAAATGTCGATTGCCATCAAAAAGTACGGATTTTATGAAAAAGTACCATTTTCTTTAAAATTGGTAGTTTTATGAAAAAAAAATTGTTATGTAATCGCTATTCAAAGGTACCACTTGTTACAGAATAGTACTATTTTCTTAAAAATTTGTTATTTGATGAAAAAATTATGATACGATCATCATCAAAAGGTACCACTTTTTACAGAAAAGTACCTTTTGCATAAAAATGGATAATGTTATGAAAAAAATGGTAATAAATAAATTGCGATTGCCATCAAAAAGTACGGCTTTTATGAAAAAGTACCATTTTCTTAAAAATTAGTAGTTTGGTGAAAAAAATTTTTATGTAAACGCCATTCAAAGATATCACTTGTAACAGAAAAGTACTATTTTCTTAAAAATGGGTTATTTGATGAAAAAATTATGATACGATCATCATCAAAAGGTACCACTTTTTACAGAAAAGTACCTTTTACATAAAAATGGATAATGTTATGAAAAAATGGTAATGAATGAATGGCGATTGCCATCAAAAAGTACGGCTTTTATGAAAAAGTACCATTTTCTTAAAAATTAGTAGTTTGGTGAAAAAAATTGTTATGCAATCGCCATTCAAAGGTTCCACTTGTTACAGAAAAGTACTATTTGCTTAAAAATGGGTTATTTGTAGAAAAATTATGATGTGATCATCATCAAAAGGTACCACTTGGTAAGGAAAAGTACATTTGCATAAAAATGGATAATGTTATTAAAAAATGGTAATGAATGAGTGAGGATTGCCTTCAAAAAGTATAGCTTTTATGAAAAAGTACCATTTTCTTTAAAATTGGTAGTTTTATGAGAAAAATGGTAATGCAGTCGCTATCCAAAGGTTCTATTTCTTGAAGAAAGAAAAAAATTATCATTTAATAATAAAATTATGATGCGTTAACCTTCAAAAGTTACCAATAGTTACAGAAAAGTAGCATTTTCCTAAAACTAGATAATTTGAAAAAAATTAAAGGAAAACTGATAATACCATCGACTTCAAAAGGTACCACTTCTCAAAAAAGTACAATTATTTGAACCACAATAAAAAGAAAACTAAGCAGTGGTGTTGTAAGTAAGCCAGCGAACTGTCGAATAGGTTCCTATTCTTTTTAACTCCCTATTTGTAAGTATTTATTTAAGTAGTTATTTGTAAGTGAACGTGGAGCATCATGGTGTTAAAGTAAAGAGTTAAAATATGAATGAAGAAATAATAAGCTTTTTTTAGCTTTTTAACTGTAATAGTAATTTTTCTCAATAAAACAAGTTTCGTTTGGTAGTACCCAACCTTTGGTAAACAATTACCGGTTGGTTAACAAGTAAAATTTTCAAACAATTTGTCTTTTGATGAAAAACAAAAGTATTTTTTATCTAATTATTGACAAAAGATAACAATAACTGTCATTAATTAACATTTTCCAATTATCAATAAGTAGTAAAATTGGTATCATATGATAAGTATGTTTATTTTATAAAAAGTTCTTTTCGATAAAAAGTGCATTATTTAGGAGAGTAGTTTATCATTCAAAAAGTACCAGTTGTTAAAAAAAGTATAATTTTAAAAAAGTTTCAATTTGTTAGAATTTTTTTAAAAAAGAATAATTTCAAATTGTTTAAGGAAATCCAATATCGCTTTCGTTTTACAACTTTGAACTTTTCGCAGGACCAAAATAATCAAGAAACTTTCGTTTGACAACTTTCAACTTTTCGAAGGACCAAATTCTTAGATTTGTAAGTTGGCATTTACAGTGTAATTTTATATAGCAAGGTTCGTAGGACCAAAACATTTAGTTTTGAAAATTTAATTTGAAATTTCTCTCAATATAATTACCATAACAGTGGGCCAATTAAGCAATTTAAGAGCGGTTAAAAAAAGATCTACTATATCGATCTATATTTATTTTTTTCCATTTAAAACCCCTTTTCATGAATTCATTTCTCAAAACAAACCAAAACTTCATTGGCAAATTATATATATATAAACAAGTTCTTATAATTAAAAAAAATTATTCTAATAGAAATAAATTTTAAATAATTTCTTTATATCAAAATTAAATTTGTTCATTTCTCGTAAATGTTTTCTTTAAATGATTGTTGTGTATGTACGAGTAATAAAGTTTGAGTGATTTTTTTTTTTTTTTTATTTGTGTAAATTTGTAGTTTTTTTTCAAAAATTTCAATTGTCGAATTTCAATTAAAATCTTTTAAACGATATCTCAGAGTTTCCAATGTTTAGTAGTAAGTGTTGGCTTAATGTGTATGTGTGTTTTGGAAAAAGTGTGGGGGGCGGGGTGTCAACTAGGGTCTTAAGAAAAGTGGACTTTTGTTTCATGTTGTACTTACAACTAATTGCATATAATTCTAATACAGTTTTTTCTTTACTAACATTTAATTGTTTGGGGGAATTATTTTTTTTTTGTTTTAACATAGAAACATAATACATTTATAATATACTTGTTGTTTATTATATATATTTTTTTTAATAATTAAGCGTTTTTTTTTATTTTTAAATTTATGATACAAATACTTTGTTTTTATTTGAAAAACTAAATTATAAAAAACTTAAATATAATATTAAAAAAAATAAAATAATAATATCATAAGTACTAACATTTATGCTTTGAGTGTATAATTTCAAATTAATATTTAAATACTCAGCCACTTTAAAGGACAACTCTCTATACGCTCTCTTTTAGTTTAAAGTTTAAACTATAAGTTGCTTTGTTTTAAAATCAAGTTTATCTATAGTTTAACTGTGGTTTAAACTGAGTAATATTCAAATTATCCGAAAAAAAAATATGTATTTTAGTTTTCTTTAAATTTTAATATCATGCTCATAATTAATGTTTTTAAATAATTTTTTTTTTAAGTCATATAATTTACATAAAAATGTGTTTTTTAGAGCTTTTTTTGTTAAAGATTTCCTGTTTGTGTTTTACCTATAGTATTTGTTTTGTTTTTTTTTTATATCTGTGTAAAAGATTTAATTTAGTTTGTTAAATAATGTTGTTATTTTTTGTGTTTTTTGTTTACTTTCTCAATCTTAAATTATTTTTTAATTTAATTTATATCGTTTACTTATATATTACGTTATATATTTTCTCTAATATTTCTTTGTTTCGATTTGAAATCCTGTTCTTTATTTCTGTATCCCTCTCTTTTAGCTCTATCTATTGGTTTTCAGCTTATCCATTTCGTTCAGCTTAATTTACTCATTTAATTTATGCCATTCAGCAATTTGTCTTCTTGGTGAATTGCACACTTCATTCCAATGATTAAGAGCTGTGCCATTTGAATTTGGTCCTCCCAATTCAAGTCGTCCGATTACCTATTGAAATATAAAATAAATTAATAAGTTTTATAATAAGGGAGAATTTGATATGTGAAAGTATCATTAGACGAACGAACAAGTGAGAAAGATATATTATTAAACTATTCCGAAACTTCTAAACTTTTAATATATGAGCATTAGAGCAATTTTCGGAAGAAGATTTTTATGAAAACTTGGATCAATTATGATCTGAACTCTTCTCAATTTAAAACAGTGATTAATTTCTAATAACAAACCACTTTTAGCGATCATAATTCGATCATATTTTGTCAATTTGTTTTACTACAAGAGGTGTCATCCTCTATAGTATAGTTTATAGTCTAGCCCATAATCTAGTATATAGTCTAGTTTATTACCTAGTCTATAATCTAGTAGTCTAGTCTATAGTCTAGTCAATAGTCTAGTCTATAGCATAGTAAATAGTCTAGTCTAGTCTAGTCTATAGTCTAGTCTATAGTCTAGTCTATAGTCTAGTCTATAGTCTAGTCTATAGTCTAGTCTATAGTCTAGTCTATAGTCTAGTCTATAGTCTAGTCTATAGTCTAGTCTATAGTCTAGTCTATAGTCTAGTCTATAGTCTAGTCTATAGTCTAGTCTATAGTCTAGTCTATAGTCTAGTCTATAGTCTAGTCTATAGTCTAGTCTATAGTCTAGTCTATAGTCTAGTATATAGTCTAGTCTATAGTCTAGTCTATAGTCTAGTCTATAGTCTAGTCTATAGTCTAGTCTATAGTCTAGTCTATAGTCTTGTCTAGTCTTGAAAACCCGTTACACTTGAATGCTGCCATCTGTAAATGAGTTGATTGAGTAGAAAACTATATAGAGTGTCGTTTATGAGAAAGAGCGGAGTCTTGCTGTATCTTTGAATTCGTTTCACATAACGAGATCTCTGTGAAAGCTCGAAATATATCGAGAGAACTTATTACCGTTCTCAAACACCTCTGAAATATCTTGAACTATTACTTTGCTAGTCTTCCAATCGCAGAGTGATCGTTCCGAAAGTGGTAGGTTCTGGCGGTCGTTATGAAATTGGATTGTCACTTTTAACGAACGACCAAATAGATTTAGTTCCCTGGGAGCAGCAAGAACCATGTAGAACTTTTTTACGCTGCGTGCAAATAAACCCGAAGTGCAAATTTGGTCTACATTTTCAAAACTTAGAGACTGATAAAATCTGTATCATACATGACCAATGATTGCTGACACTAGTACATAACTTAAGTCTGTTATGATGATAAAGATATGTGAATAAAGTCAAATGTCGGCCGATTTTCATTAACAAGCTACCTGCATCATCGACTTCCTGTTAACACCCTGTCGTGTGGGCCGAATTAATAAATACCATTTGCTAGCAAATCACCAAAAAGCGATTTTGTAAAATTAGAATTAATGTCAAAATTTATTTTTCATAATGGTCATGTTTGCTTAGGATGAAGGGGTACTACGTCTGCTAAAAAGGCAGTTTTGATTGTTCACACTTTTGCGTTATCTTTTATTTCTGGCCTATATCAAAATTTCATACATATAGTCCAGAAACTGTCATTAAATATGACCACAGTAAATTTTATTAACTCACCTCATTTTTGGTAACACGATCCCAGTCGAGTAACATTAATTCAAGTGACACACCATCCAAGGTAGCTCCGGAGCCCTATAAAAAAGGAGCACATAAGAATTCAAATTAATAATCACCTTATACTTAAACTATCAACTAATCTCTTCGACCTACCTCAGCTGCTGGTATATCGAAAGCAAAACTTTCATTAAAAACAGGACTCAGTGTACGTTTCTTAACGTGAGTCTTTTTCTTAGCAATACGCTGACCATTGTACAATAAATAGATTTTAACGTAAGGATCAGCCAGACCGGTCACATCCATACGTGGCAAATTGCGAGCCTTCAATAATACAACGGTCAAACGTCCGGCAGCTGGTTGCCAACACAATGAAATCAATAATTCACCACGTCCTTGGGCACGTATCTTCAAACTGCGTGGTTGAATTTCCTTGCTAATCGACAAGGCTTCTTTCGAAATATCGCCAATTTCAATGGAGGAAAGAGGACACACCACCTCACCAATAACATCGTCACGTGAATAACGATCAAAGCTCAATATGACGAAATGCAAAGACATATTCTGTAGATCATTAATGTTTAAGCCATAGAAAGTGAAGTCCTCATCGTAGACTGGATTACGGGTATTGCGTACAACACGGGTCTTAACTTTGTGCTGTTTATCGGGCAATAATTGCAACTTGACATAGGGATCAGTTGCCGATTGAGTACGACCATTCATACCAGCTGGTATATCATTAGATTTGTTGCCATTAGCAGAATTACCTCCATTATTGCCACTACCACTCTTGCAGGGTAAACCACGACAACGTATTATGGAGACCATCAAAGCATTACGCTCACCCAAATAACGCAATTTAAAGAATATCGAACCCAATTTGCCATATTGCTCCATATTCATTTCACTTACACTCATGTTGCTTACTACAGATTCTTGCATCACTGACACCTGATTGCTATTGCCACCTTTGGCGCCGTTAGCGGACATACCATTACTGCCACCACTACCAGTAGGACTTAACTTAGCTTCCATGGGTGAAAGTTTTTCGGTGCCATTATATTTGTTAAGCTTCGACGATTTGGTTTCATCCTCTTCCATATATTTTACCGTTTGCGGTGAAATGGGTGATGTGGCGGTTTGTTCCTGCATTGGCTGCAATATACCCAATTGTTTGGTGCCAGTTGGTGAGGGTGATTTCTTCAAGTAGTGGGGTGGTTGACCACTAGGCGAACGAACAGCTGTCGGACGACGTGTTGGTTGAAAGGGAAATGTTGAATCATGTTGATTTTGTTTACGATTGCGAGCGCGCATCTGACGGGCACATATACAAGCAACTGCCCAGAGGGCACCTGCTGATATGAGACCCAAAATAGCTGGAAGTACTGGAGAGAAGGGAAAATTGAAAAAAAAGATTAGTTTTGTAGAAAATTCAATGAAGAAAAACAAAATATATTGAAAGTTAAGAAATAGTAAGAATAAAATGTCTGATGCCCTAATGCTTAGATAATACCATACATCAAATATCAATATACCTAAAAAGAAAATCGAAAGTTGGTCCATTAATGGAGCTTCGGCCAATTGTCAAAGACCTTTAAACAGAGATTATCACAACACAATACGATTCTTCCATATGCTTATTCCTAATAGTGATTTATGATTCATACCTCCGCCTATAATGTTTCCAAAGGATTCACTGAGGACTACAAGAATGGTAAAAGGGTAGGTGGCAGATTTTGTATTGAATGAAGTCTCCTGAAGACTACCAGATTACTGTAGGGTTCTAACACTGTATAGCGTTTGTTTACAGAACATATAGTTTAATCTGAAAACCCCGAGCATTTCTCAATGAGTGTGCAAGACATTTTAGAATAATAAGTATTCCTGGACATAGATCTGTAAACATTTTGTATAGCAGGTGTTCCAGGTGGATATTTACGCCACCGATATCACTAGAATAATGGGTTGGTTGGATATTATGGTAGTTCACTACACTCGAACAGTCAAGTAGATTCGAAAGGACTCACTTTCGACAGTACCACTCCAATCGTCAGATATAGTATAGTCTGTAGACGAAACAAATCTCAGGACCTAGATATCTCACTATGGTTGAAGAAATTGCCAAGGAACCTGTTTCTCTTAGCGGCTAGAGCAGAGCATTCTGTGCCTTGCAACTGCTACAATATTTATTGAAAGGGACCCAATCCGACTTGCGTGTTTGCCTAGCACCCAGTGTTCACCTTTTATATTTCTATTATTTCATGTCGTAAGTTATCTTGTGCATTTCCCATTGATAAGAGAAAAACATACGACACACTCATTTAGGTATACGGGTGGAGTGAGGCCCGCATACCTCTACATTGACACCAACCCATTTTCAACGCTTAGTACCACAGCCGCTCCTTTGTGGGGTATCAATTGTTTCGGCAACAGCACCGAACTTATCACTCTTCCCGCGAATTTGGGTTTTAACCACAGCCACTACGTGGATCCCGAAGGAACCTCAACCAACTGACGAGACTGGTCATAGTCCTGCGGCAACTAGCCACCCGTAGTACCAGATTATATGGTTCTCTGGTTAGACCTCTTTCCAGTTTATGCAAGGACTAAACCAGGCAGTAATCTGTAAGCACCACTTATAGTCCCGGTAGCACCTATATACCCCCGGATTGCAATACACCAAGATGGGATGTATCATCAAGGATAACATGCCCGTGGGGGCCTGTAATGTCAGACAGGCGAACCAGCCTTGATTAATCCTTATTGCATTGTCTCTGACAAATAGGAAGTATTTGTTCTCAAGATTTAGGTGACGATATCTTGAAAGAAGAAGAAGATATGCCCGATATTAAGCCTTTATTTTACAGTTAACAGAATGAAGTTCTGTTCCGTTAATGGACATCGTTAAAACAAATCAGAAAGTGATTTTGAGTCGATTGGAACAACCTTGGAAAGTTGTGAATCCAGGCATGCAAATCGGCAGAGTTATCAGTAATTTCGTAATCAATGTTGGCCTGAAGTTCTTTTAACGTTCGCTTGTTGTTATAACCCCAGATAAAGGCGTTCGCGATATGTCTGTTTGTCTTTTTGCGGTTTTGGTACGACGTCTCAAAAAGGGCCAAAAATAACGATTTTTCAAACTTCAGGATACGATCAAATCCCAGATGTAATGGAGATAATCTGAGTAATACGACTTCGTTCAGAAGTGACTCAAGCATGCAAATCATCAGAGTTATCAGTAATTTTGCAATCAATTTTATAAATTCTAACCTTCACTTATTGTCATAACCCCAGATAAGGGTGTTCGCGTTACGTCTGTCTGTCTGTTTGTTTGTCTTTTGTGCGGTTTCTTGAAAAATATCTACTGAGAAATCTTTGTATATAAAACAGTAACAAAAGTAATCATTAGCTATCGATACAATTAGCTCTAGTACTGTACCATTTAGCTATAATAACTATATTTTACCATGAAAATTATAATTAAAATACAACAACCTTGATTCTTATACAATTTAGTTTTCTTTTTTTTTTTTTTTTCTTTTGTTATTTTCCATTTTAGATAAAACAATCCTCAAACAAAAGAGTAAAATTCACTACAGTATTAACAATATGTTAAATATGTTAGTTACTAAACAAAAAAGTTATTAATAGAAAACTGTTTGCAACACCAACGCAAAAAAAAGAAGAGAATCGTTTCAATAACAAACGAAATAACTGCCCACCCTAACCCAATTGTCTGCCTAAACTTATGCTGCTAATTGATGAATAATTCTAAGAAAAAAAAAACAAAATAACTAGATTTTTTTGGAGTGGAGATGGGTTACGGATTAAAAAAACTAAAAATAAAACTGGAATTTATAAGGTTTTTAAATATTTAACTTACTTGTTGACATAGCGCTGATATCTGGGCTGTATTCTTCGCCCATTTTGTTTATTAGCAAAATAAAAACGGTTTTATACTTTTTAAATGTTTTTGTTTTTTGCACAAACTAGAAATAGATAATTTTTTTCAAAAATGCGTCGTAGTAAAGAAGTTCTTTGCCAAACACTACAATACGTGCAAATTTTTTCTATTTGTGTTTTTTTTTTTTTCTTTCGTATCGATATATAAAAAACTTCACTTCAAGATGAAATCGATATTATGCCTTTAAGTATGCTAGGTTTTTGTTCTCGCTCTCTCTCTCTATATATATAGCAGGGAGTAAGCAAAAGTAACAAATGTTAAAAAACACACACACACTACTACTACTCACTCTCTTTTCTATGTTATTCTCTAATGTACAGTGTGCAAAGTAAAACAACAAATGACTTTGAAAGGATTTCTGTTGGAGTATGAGTGTGTATTATGCTTTTTTTCTCCAAAGGACTAAATATTGTAGTAATATATTTTATATGAGTGTTTCTTTTTTTTTCTACAAATGACAAGTATGAATCATTCGTTCGTGTTTTTTTTTTCTTCTTTAATTTGCTCCCCTAGCTATGACCGTCTTTCCTAGTTTTTTTTTTTTTGCTGAGTGTTAAAAGGATGTATGATTAATAAATTTTCACTTTGGGATTTCTAGGTTTTTTTTGTGTAATTTCAAGTTCAATGTAATAAAACACAAATATTTAATGAGTTTTTTCAACTTTTCACTTTAAGTTTTTGAAATTTGTTAAACAAATTTAAATATTTTTTTAAAAAAATTTCTGTAATTTTCCCTATATTTTTTTATTTTTGCTCATATACGTTTGTGTCGTAGGTCTACATACAATATTTTCTGTATTTTTCTTCAGGATTTTTTTTTCACCAAATTTTCTATTTTCGTTTAATAGTTTTTTTCAATTAAGATTCACATTATTAAATCGTTTTTTCTCGTTATCAATTGTTTTTATTTAAAAAAAAAAATAAGTTTTATTTAATTTTTCAACTTTTTGACCGTTTTAAAAGAAAATTCTTTTTCGTTTGCACTGTTGTTCGTGTCGTGTTTTACGATAAATGAAAATCCAAAGTTTTTCTTAACAGTGTTTGCTGTTATAATCACCACACTTAGTAGCGAAAAAAAATCGTTAAATTCTGTCCTGCGCAGTAGGTATAAAAGAACTTACGTTGTCCCATCATATGTAAGTTACGTGACGTAACACTTTCGTATCCACCACTTTGTTTACACTCTTGGTTCACAATAACAATTTTATTTTTGTGTGGGGACTTCCAATAGGGTAGGTTTTAAACTCAACCCTGTTGTATGTTATAAATAAGCTATAAATATTGTTTTTAAACATTTTATTAAGTTTTAAAATACATGTGTCAAAAATATAAATTTTTTTTCACCTAAACAAAAATAATAAAATCATATGTTGTAAAAACAATATTTCAATATATAAATTCTTAAAAGATCTTATGTTTAGATGGAATGAGCAACACCTAAAAAATCACTGCAAAATTTACAAATTAGTCAAGTTTTGGATGATTCATCATCGTTCTCAAACTGAGATTTTTCAATAGAATGATTTGCTTACAACAATGCAAAGTAGTTGAGAAACATTTTATTTCGAAAATAATTTGGTATCTCGTAAATTACACTTTCCGACAAATTTTTAATTCAGAGAAGAAAGTATACTTTTCTAAAAGATTGATCATAATCTGGTCTCAGAAAAACAATATTTTTGGCTCTTTTTGAGACATTATAATAGCGCCAAGATAACCTTATTTATAAAATACATGTAGCCCATTCCGACAGCTTCAAAATAAAGGCTTAACATTTGACATATCTTGTTATCTCTTCGAGAATTCTTCAATTAAAGCTTGATACATTTCGCTTTTAGTTTACAAGAAAACTAATACATTCAATTTTTTCAAATTTTTATACCCTACACCTTTGTGAGAAGGGTATACATAAATTTGTCATTCCATTTGTAGACTATAGACTACATATAGACTAGACTATAGACTAGACTACAGACTAGACTATAGACTAGGCTATAGACTAGGCTATAGACTAGACTATAGACTAGACTATAGACTAGACTATAGACTAGACTAGACTATAGACTAGACTATAGACTAGACTATAGACTAGACTAGACTAGACTATAGACTAGACTATAGACTAGACTATAGACTAGACTATAGACTAGACTATAGACTAGACTATAGACTAGACTATAGACTAGACTATAGACTAGACTATAGACTAGACTATAGACTAGACTATAGACTAGACTATAGACTAGACTATAGACTAGACTATAGACTAGACTAGACTATAGACTAGACTATAGACTAGACTATAGACTAGACTATAGACTAGACTATAGACTAGACTATAGACTAGACTATAGACTAGACTATAGACTAGACTATAGACTAGACTATAGACTAGACTATAGACTAGACTATAGACTAGACTATAGACTAGACTATAGACTAGACTATAGACTAGACTATAGACTAGACTATAGACTAGACTATAGACTAGACTATAGACTAGTAGACTAGACTATAGACTAGACTATAGACTAGACTATAGACTAGACTATAGACTAGACTATAGACTAGACTATAGACTAGACTATAGACTAGACTATAGACTAGACTATAGACTAGACTATAGACTAGACTATAGACTAGACTATAGACTAGACTATAGACTAGACTATAGACTAGACTATAGACTAGACTATAGACTATACTATAGACTAGACTATAGACTAGTCTAAGTAAGGGCACCGTCTTAAAACTTTTAAAATGTAGATTTCTAGTTTATAAGGGGTATTTAAGATTATTGTTCCATTCTAAATACTTGACCAACGAACAATTATTAAACATTAGTTATACACAGCATTTTTAAAGAATTCCTCAAGAAATGTGTACCGCATAAGGGGTTAAACATTCATAGTCGCACAATTAGTAAATTCACAAACCAATTTAATTCCGAAAACTTTTCGTATACAATTAGTGAATTTATCTCTCTGAGAAAAACAAGAGAATAAAGCAAAGCTTTTTTCAAAACTCTCAAACGAAAGCTTTTGATTGTATTCAATTTGCAAGCCATAAAGTTTAGCACGTGAGTGCCACAAAAACCACCGACCAAACGAACGACCCATCATGCCAAAACAAAACCAAACAAGACATTTAGCGGTAAATTTTGTATCTTCTTGTGTTTTTTTTTTCTAGCTTCAAACGATTTTGCACAACAAAAAAATAAAAACGATACACTCTTGTACATTTTGAGAGCTAAAACGTACGAACTATTTATTGTATTATTTTATTATTTTTTTTTTTCCAACGACCAACCGACACATATTTTGTATGCAGCTTAAAAGCAACAACAACAACGTAAATGTAACATTTGAAGTTAAAGTTGTGTGTGAATACGATGAGACCAGACCAGACCAGTGAGTGAGTAAGTACCTCAGACTAACTAAACAACCAACCAACATTGGGGTTTCATTGGCTTTATTTTGAAAAAGCATTCAAAAAGAATTTAAAAGTTGAGAGCAAACGGTGCAAGTAATTAGTCGTATACGGTACGCGCTTAAGCGAACATTTAACACAAAAATATAAGAAAATTTTCTAATATTTTTCTTAAAAAAATATATATTTTTAAAAATTTTAGTGTTGAAACTGCAAACAAAAAATAAAGTGAATTTTTTAGTGCGACCGTTATTAACATATAAATTAAAATTTCTAAAAAAAAATTTAAAAGAAAAATTTTGTGTTAAATTTGGATTTAAAAAAAATTAAGTATTTTAAAATTTCAACAAGTTTTTAAAAATTTTAATTATTAAAAAAATATATAAAGATTTTGTAAGTTTTTTTTATTTTTTTTAATTTACAACGTTTTTTTATAAAATTTTCTTATTGTAACAAATGCTGTTAGTAAATAGTTCAATGATATTTAAAATTGTGTTTTGTTTTCTGAAAGTTTTTGCACGACTTTTTTTCTGTTTTGAGTACCCTACAGTAAATTTTTTAGTTATTCTAACTTGATCGTGGGGTTTCCAAATAAATTTTCCTGCTTAAATTTTCGAAAAAAACGAGGAAATGTTTAAGTAGAAATCCCTAATGGATAGTCAGATCTAAGCACTTTTGCGAATATTGGAATCTAATTGATTAGATGTATGGGTGTCAAATTTGTTAATAATTACGGCCCGGTTTAATGGTTAAAACTTCCTATAAAATTGCAACGATAGACGAAATTATAGACAGTGCCATCCAAATTTAAAACAAACTTCGGTGTAAAAAGCTTTAAATAGAATTTTAACTCATAGGTCCGATAAGGTTAAACTTCCATTTGTACTATTATTTAAGCCGATAGGAGAAAGATCGAATTTTAGATAATCTGACGAACAGAAAACCATTAAAAATATGGATAAGAGAAACCCATAAGTCCTTTGGGAATATTGAAATGGCGGGTAGAACCGCAAAGGTCCTATGGACCAGAGCAGGACGGGCTTCCTCAAAATGAGCAAGTGTGAGCCTCTGTCTCCACTCAAGTATTCTGAGTAGACACACAGGGTATTGATATACAAAATTGGTCGTGCGGATTCAGACGAATGTATAGCATGAAGAGAGGACATTGAAACTCTGTAGCACTTTCTTTGCCATTGTCAGGATTTCGCTGAAATTACATCCAAATATCTTGGGAGTGATATTACACCAGATATAACATCCCTCATGAACACTGATTAGAAAATTCTAAGGAAACTGAGTTTCTGGACATCGAACGATAATACATATACAGTAAATACTATATAAGGTTTTTGCTTTTAACAACAAACATTTTCCATGAAAAGGAGAGCACAACAGTTCCGATAGTGGCCTAGATGCATGTCTTCCGATTTAATGCACCTACACATAGGTGTCGTATAGAAAGCGTTTGAAAATAAACGACTAGTGCAATTCGAATAAAACTTAACATGGATCTAGGCAAAAACTATTCGAGTTTATATTTCGAAAAATAATTCCTCGAGTTCTAAAGATTTTAAGGTTTTTATATTTTCTAAAAGCCTAAAGGTATCAAATGACAAAGACAACTGATAAAAGCTATCCCTCCCCCGGGACATGTTAACTTGATGAAATGCCTTCAGCTTTGTCTAACTGAAATCCGAGGGAAAATTAGTACTTTCAATGTCTCTAGTCTACCGGTACTATGGTGTCAAATGTATCTTCGTCTTTTATGATTTGATCTGGAGTCGAACCAGTGAGTCATGTAATTATGTACCACGGGAACCAGTAGCACACAGAGTAGAGATTCGAACTTTGTTTTGTGGCGGTTATTGGAGAGGTTCCTTCGGGGTGCACGTGATGGCTGTGGTTTAAATCCAAACTCGAGGGAAGATAATATAGTTTAAATGACTGATTAACGGTTAAATCTAGAAGTATTTCGGGATAAGTTAAGATCTGTTGCCGAAAAAGGCTACAGATACCTTTAAATGAGTGGGTGTCAAGTATATATAATAATCGAATGATGTGGTGGTATATGGGCATCACTCCCACCCTGTTTACATAGAGTGAATGTGTCTGATGTTTTTCTCAATTAATGTGTCGAGTGAATGAAAAGTCTGCTGTATTGAATGGTAATGGATGTACGGAATCTTATACGTCTCTAGATACTATTGCCGTATCAGCAGAGACCATCCCATTTGCGTTGTTGTAAACTTAAATGATGTTATTGCATCTCGGAAGTCAGAGATTAGAGAAATGGTCTAGTACTTCAGCCTGAAGTGCTGGTACATGGACATGTATATGGATGCAAGCCACTCAAAGGGACGGTGGTGAGCCATCTAACACCTGTGGTTGTATCACTGTGAAATAAGACCGTCATGGCAGGTTTTGACGTAAAACACTTTCACTTATGTTTGCGAAGAGGCAGACAAGTGCTTCTTAAATGTCCCCTCTCTCGCTTACGAAGGGGAAACTAAAGAGACAATTATCTTCACGCTCGTTTACAAAGATTACATCCGTGACGAAAGGTGTTTAGACGTTAGTG